GAGTCTCACGGTCTCTCCTGCCCAGGCTGGCTTTGAACCGCGATCCTCAGATCTCAGCCTCCTGAGTAGCTAGGATTACAGGCGTGAGCCACCAGCGCCCGGCTTCCTCCATGCAATTTTTATAGCATATTTAAACTTAAACAAAACAACTAATGGTTTCTCTGAAATTCAGATTTGTTTCAAACTGTTGGTAGGTATCCTAAGCCGATGTTGAACTCTCAGTCTTTGTGCCTCAACCTCCCTAGTGTTGGGATTACAGGCATGCACCACCTTTCCTCGAGTTGAAATTTTAGATTTAGTTGGATATCCTACGTCTTTTGGGTTTTGTTTGTTTGGGGGGGAGCAATCCTACTTTCACATCACAAGCCAGTCATGAAATCTATTATGGGGAAGTCCCAGTCCCCCTTTTAAGAAGTTTGATATGGCTTTTTTGACTAAATTATCTCATTTAGGGCCACACATTTGCTCTATAATAGAATCTCACCATGGACGTGGAGGTGAATGCCCATGGGAGGGAACTGTACAAACTGCATGAGCTAAGAGCTACCTCAGAGTGCGGCTCTTGTATGATATGAAGGACAGTCACATCTTTCTGCCTCAGCCTCCTGTGTTGGGGCTACAAGCATGCACCCCCCTGCTCAACTAGAGATCGATTTTGATGCATCTAGAAAGTCGTGTTGGTCTCTCAGTTGAACAGTGGCAGCGGTCCTGTCACAGTGCTGTCACAAAGCACTCAGGCTGCAGGTGTTGCCACGTACATTGTCTAAAGTCACCTGTTTTGCCCTGCAGGTTGTGGAGGCTCCCGGTGCTGCTAGGTGCATTGGCCCTGGGTGCTCCAGTGTGGCACAGCCTGACTCGGTGTACTGCAGTAATGATTGTATTCTCAAACATGCAGCAGCTACTATGAAATTTCTAAGCTCAGGTAAAGAACAAAAACCAAAACCTAAAGAAAAGGTCAAGATGAAGCCAGAAAAACTCAGTCTTCCCAAGTGCAGTGTTCAGGTAAGCCGACCTAGGTCATTTTTTGAGCCATTGAAGGAGAAAATGTGCAGAAATGTTCTTGCCATAGACTTGTCTTTTGGGAGTATAGAGGACAAGGTATCAACATAATGCAGATCACCTTTAGTTGAGGAGTCCCTCACTAGTGACAGACTAACATAAAAGCAGGAATGAGCGGCCTAGGCACTGTGGAAAACCAAGGATGCAGACTGTAGCTTTTCAAGTTGGCATCTGCGTTTACCTGCCGAGTCTGTGCACAGGGCCCTTTAAGAGAGGGTGGCGTGGGCTCCAGGCAAGGTTAGGGGCCATAAGGCACGTCTCAAAATTGTCTTGTTTTTGTATTCCATGTGATTTGGCAGGAAGCAAAATGTATAGCACTCAGGCTGTTTTCTTAAACCTAGAGCCCTGGCCGGGGCTCATCTGGATGTGCCTTCACAGCCCATTCTGCTGTGACACAGGAAGGCAGGCGTGACTGATGCTGCTCAGGCGTCTGCTTGGTTATTTTCAAATGCTTGCCGGCCTTTAGATGACGGGCTGGTAATTTGGGATCTTAGAACTCCCTAAGAAAAGCAGTTCCTGTGTGCAGCAGAAGGGCAGCAGTGTAGACCACTGGGAAATAATCCCAATCCCTGGATTATTTCCCCTGAGAACACAGTTGTTGGTTATCTTCTTTCCACATCACTGCCCTCTGCTCCAGGTGTCGAGTGCATTCTCACACCCACAGGCAGGCCTGTTCCACCTTGTTTTTGGCATGTCTCCTTGCCCTCCCAAGTGCCTCGGCAGTTCCATGTTGGGGGCCTTTTTATATGACCCCAGCAGTACAGTCCCAAATATGTGGTTGCTGAGTATGTAGACAACACACTGAGCAAATGGGGTGCAAATCTGAAATGGGCGAGGGATTTGGGTGCCCCAAAGAAGCATTCTAACCTTGCTTGCTCAGGGAAATGCAGCAGAAGTGTCATTTCTGACCTTAATGACTGAAGTTTCACTGATTATGCAGGTAGGGATTAAAATCTCTTCTGTGCACAAGAGACCAGCTCCAGACAAAAAAGAAAACCCAGCCAAGAAGGTGATGGTGGCCCCTCCTAGAAGTGAAGCCTCAGGGAAGGAGGCAGCTTGTGAAAGCAGCACTCCATCCTGGGCAAGTGACCACAACTACAACGCAGTGAAGCCCGAGAAGCCCGTCGCAGCAGCGCCCACTTTGTTGTGTAAATGTACGTATGTCCAGGGGCTGACCTCCAGGCCATCTTTCAGGCTCAGTGTAGCTGCCTGTGGCTGATCTGGGACCATGTGCGCAGCTGCTGTGTTTCTTAGTGCTGATGGTAGAGGCCACCTCAGTCTAGAAAGCCTCGGACCCAGGAGTGATTGTCAGTAGCCTGTGGACCTCCTGGTTTTTCTAGAATGCTCCGTGAACCTCACTCCTGAGTGTTTCGCCTTGGCGAAACAATTCTTTATTCCAGGATCGGGCTCTGGTAAGTATTGGAGCAGAGCCTCCAGCAGCCCTGGGACTGCCCACGTGCCAGACTCACACTGTACAGACATCAGTAGTGTTATCACAGCCCTGCACAGAACTTGGGCAGTTTTCCACAGCACCTACTTTCTATACAACAGTCCTTGCCCTACTGTATGTTGTGATCCTCTCTGGAGATTAGTGTTACATCTGATGGCTGAAACGGTATTTTTCACTAGTTAGATCATTTTTAACTAGATAGGAAGGCTTATGTTCATGTCCAATTCACATCCATAAGTACACATGCAAATTTTGAAGGCTATTCCACTGCTTAGCAGACCCCATAGTGAGTAACTGATGCCCTAAGGGTGAACGTTTCAGGACTCTCCGCCCCAGCCTCCCCTGTTTCATTTCAAATCCATGAAATGAAAATGCTTCCTTCCAGTACATCTTCTGAAACCCCAGATTGGGCCATTGCACTTGGGTTCATTCTTGTTTCTCCGCCCCATGTTCCACAGAAGTACATTCAAGTTAGTTTCTATTTATGTTCTCATCATAATGCTGTGGCCTTTAGAAAGCACTAGGTAAAATTGCCCTGAATTCCAGGAGTACAGATGTGTATTTTATTTCTTTTTGGTTGGCCTTTCAGCAAGTTTCCTCAAAGAGGGTATGTGCAGGTAGGTGCTAGGTTTCATGTGACTGAAAAAAAGGGGCATGTAGCCAGGCCAGGCATGGTGGCACAATCCTGTAAATGCTTCCAGAAGGCTAAGGTAGGGAGGAGGTCTGAAAGTTCAAAGTCAGCCTGGGCTATGTAGTAAGACTCGGTCTCAAAAGAAAGAGAGAAAATGAGAATGTAAGAGGCCCAAGTCTTAAGAAGTAGAATCACAAGTGAATTGAATTAAGTAAATGATGCATTATAAGGGACCATAGTGCACCTTATGGTGTTACGTGGCAAAGTCCCTGCTCTCAAACGGTTACTGAATTAGCTCAGACTTAGTGACTTCATTTAAAAACAAGTGCTACTTATCTGGGTGGAAGGCAGCCACTTGAACACCGAGCTAAAATGCTTTAAGTTGGTTGTAGGCACATGAGAATAAAGGAAAGAAAACCACGGTATATCACAGCACAGGGGGTTGAGTATCTCTAGCTGCCCTCGAAACGCAGGTGGTATTGAGGAGAGGAAAGTTGGCGAGGAGGATTGGGATTGTTGGACCCTAACAGTCTTGTTACTTGTAGTGGGGAACACAGGTGTAAGGATTTCGGGAGTCAATGAGGAGGCCAGTTTCTAAGTTTGAAGTTTCTTCTTTGACTCTTCTACCTCTTCCACTCAGCACTTCCTCAATGAAGCCAGTAGGCTTCAGGGGCAGAAAGTTGGGACAAAACACTTCAACATCTCAAAATTAAAACTGGACATCCAAAATAGAGCATGAATAAGGGCCCTGTGTCCGAAGGTGGTTGTTTCTGACCTCTTTTGTATTACCTCAGAAATGTCATCTTCCCAATGATTGGAAGAAGCGTAGGGTCATTGGTAAAGTGTCTGCTTCTCTCCCCCCAAACAGTTTCAGTAGCAGGCACATTCTCTTCCCCCACAGTCCAGCGGGAGGCTCACCACACAGAGTTTGTGGAACTGCATCCCCACTGGCTGGCAAACACACGACGGGGGGGGGGGGGGGGGGGGGGGAGGGGGGGAGGAGGGCCTTGGAGTGAAGCCAATTCTACGAACACTTCCTTGTTCGCCTTTCTTGTGCATTGATGCATGTCTGGCTCACCCTGTGCATCTGAAGAGCCGCTGCAGCTGCTCCCGGAGGTCTGCAGCCACAGGGCCTCCCAGCGCTGCGCCGCCCTGCGGTGGAGGCAGCGGCCCTGCATCGCCCGAAGCTTTGCTCCCCACACTCAGGTGACACGAATTCACGTGCAGTTGCTCCTCTGAGTTGCCTTTTAAAACTTCCCTGGAATTTCTGTGTATTTTCCTTAGCTTATAGAAACAATTGTCATTTAAAATTTTTCTTTCCAAGAGCCTGGTGGTGCTTTTTGGTTTCATGTCCTGTTTTTGTTTGTTTTTTTTGTTTTTTTATTTCCACCTTTAGTCCACCTGCCATTGTTGTCAGCATAAACCAACAAATGTTCCTGATTTATTAGAGTTCTCAAGTGGAATTCTGGTGCAAATAATTACATGTATACTTTCTAGATTTGGGACTCACTAAATGGCTTATTAAATGACCTAAAACACAGGATCTGAATAGATTTTGGCAGAAAAACATTTTATCTACTGTGGAAACTAAAATGGAAAACCATAGCAGCCTGCCAAGGCAAATCCTGGTGATTGGCTGTTTGTCTTCTCCAGAAAGAAGCATTTTCCTTTTGATGCATGTGCTGCTCAGACATCCAGGCTCTTTGGTGGTGGGCAGGGAGGAGACGGTTTCACCAGGGCACCTGGGACTGGTTCCAGAAGCGTGTGCCGCTGGAGCCCTGGAGAGACAAAGCCCAGGGTGAATGTGTGTTGGGGGGGAGGGTAAAGAGCTCTAAACTTGGAGGGGTGTTTTTCCAGCTGCATGAGCCCTTTAGGTCTCCAGAACTTGAGTGGCAATAAGACGAAGTGGGAGAGCCAGACCGCCAGACTCTGCATCTCCACCTCTTGAGGAAAAAATACCCAGAATATTGATAAAGGCTTTACTTTGACAGCTGTTTTTAATACTCCACCTGAAATCTTCTTGGTTGTCAACAGTAGCGTTCTTTTGACATATTAGTTGTTTGCATTTTATAGACAACTTCCAGAAATTATGTCTGACTTGAACCTACCAGGTGAGCCTACTTGGTACCATCCTGCAGCAGCAGCGTCCTTCAGTCTGCCCTGCTGCCCCTCTCCCCCCAAGGCTGGCGAGGTGGTGAGGGCTGATGTATCCAGCTCTGTGGAGTTCACCTGCTCCCAGTGACCTTTTTGGAGCAGTGGCTCCACCCTAAATACTCTGTAAAGACAAACACTCCAGGAACATCCTTCGATGGCATTGCTGCTGTCATCGCGCAAAGTCACCTCTGAAGATGCATGCTGTGACTCTTCAACACAGTGTACAAGTTTCCACTATATCTAGATAAAGTTGTAAAATATGGTAGTCTTGTTGCACATCAACACTCACATAGTCTTGGCTTCTAAAAGTTAGAGAAAGTTCAGAATGTTTGCTACTTCATTTAACTGAAGGTTGGAGGCAACATTTATTTGCCACAGACCTGGAAGAGTCATCGAGAAGAACATAAGGTAACCACACCCATGGGCTGTCAGGAGGGGTCTGGAGGACTTCAGGGAGGGTATATGGACTATTGTAGCGTATTCCTGTCATACTAGGTTTAGTATGCAACTTAGCAGGCTAAACCGGCTGCTTCTCTCCTGGTGGTGGTTGGGAAGCCCCCATCCTTGTAAATCCTGGAATTCGGCAGCACAGCAGTAGCTGGGCAGACAGCACACTCTTGTGGCTGGCCACCCAGGTGGTTCGCTTTGAAGTGTAATTTGATTAATTCTTCCAACCTAGCATAAATCACAGTTCTGTTTTTCAAGACAATAAATGTGGAATTGTTAAATCAGAGATGCACAGTTGCAGTTTTTAGGTTTATGTAGAGTTAGCCTCCGTTAAAATGGAAACGACTCAAATTCTGAACTTCACCAAGGAAAAAATACCTTTTGTTTTTTTTGATTTTTTTTTTTTTTTTTTTACATTCCCAAATCACTGCAGTACTGATGGCTGTCTGCGGAGCATGATGACAAATGGCCTGTGCTGCATGTCCCCATAGAGAGGACGTCAGTAACTTCCCGTGGCTTTTGAAGGATTTTAATATGGGGACAGGGCTGTCCTGTTGTCCGTGCCAACTTAAGCTTATACCCTGCTCCAGCTCCCAAGTGCCACCATTCCCAGATTGAAGGATAATTTGAACATATAAAACATTGAATGTTGTAGATGCAAACCATTTCTTCCTAGCCAGTATCTGGTTTTTACCCTAGGGAAGATCTTGTGGCTCCTGGGAACCCGAGCTGGTCACCCTGGAGCAGGTTTGTCTGAGGCCTAGTTTCCAGGTGTTGCTGGTGAGACCCTGCCTGCCCTCATGGCGGCAGCCCTGCCACCTGGTAGGATGTAAGGCTTGGAGGGAATTTGCATCACTGGGTGAGATAGAGCTATGTGCAGACGAGATTGTCACCAAACACAGCTGCCTGGCAACATTGGGCTTATACCTTCTCTATAGGGGATTGTGTTCCCCTGTTGTAACCCATTTGGGCAATTGCTCAACTGTCCCGAATCGCGCTAGTGATTCCTTCAGTGGAGGGCAGATTTTCTCCCCTTATTTATTGAAGTTCGCTAGTGACACCCAGTGGCCAGTGGTCCTATAGCATCCTCGTTGGCCCTCTGACAAGACCCAGGATTTACGGTACCTTCCCCGTGCCCGGTCAGCCCTGCATTTCTAGTGCAAACATAGCAGCAAGTTTTGTCTGGGATCACGGCCTCCCTTGCAGCGGGGCAGGGGAAGGGCACAATTCCTGGAGCTACTAACTTAGCATTAGGGAGCACATTTTTTCCCCCTTGAGCGGGCTTTAGGACCAGTGATCGGAGAGGACTAATGGAATGCTTCCTCAAGCACAAGGGGTAGGTGGAGTGGCAGCAGGACACTGCAAGCCAACAGGAAAGGTCCTGGCCAGCAGAACACACGGGACTAGAGCCCTGAGGGCTGGACTGTTTCTGAAACAGAACAGTCCTGGTGACTATTTCTTGTCTTGGAAGCCACAGCACAGTTAGTGAGTTTAGGAGTCAGTGTGGAAGTGCACACCTAACCCTAGTACTCAGAAGGCAGAGGTGGTAGGGTCACAGAGTTGAGGTTAGCCTCAAAGCTACCTGGTCCAGTGCCTGTGTGTGTCTGCCTTTGCCCCTTAAAGAAAATGAGGGCAGCACAGTTGTGTGCAAAGGCCATGGGTTTGGCACCTGACAGAATAATCTCTGTTGCTGATATTCTAGCATCAGTTAACCCAAGCCCAGCACTTCCACACTACCCTCCAAAGTAGGTATTTGCTATGTAACCAGTCATTGGTGCTCCAGAAACCACTAGTTGCACGAAAGCTGTTGTCAGAGGGCCACTCCCCTGTCATAGCAGACCAGTCTGTCTGTACTTGTTGTCGATTACTGATCTTAGCAAGGATTGGTAGCCTCTTCTTTACCTGAGTGGGGAGGGGGGTTGGGCCAGTACAGGTTGATATCCCTAAAGTTAGATTTGGGGAGGTGGGGCCAAGTTTTTGAGACCTGCAGGTGTTTGTAACTAGAAACAAAATGCTCTCAGTTTAGATTGTACCACACAAGTATGTCAGGGTTTTGTAAAATCACCTAAAAGTGATTCTAAAACTATATTCCGTAAAAGTGATTGGTTCTGATTCTCAGTTTTAATCACAGGCAGTTCCGTGCTTCTGTGACGGCTGGCTGGCTGGCAGTTTGGATACAGCTGCTGGCCAGCGGTGGGCCTGCGGCACCCTTCTCAGTGTAGGAGAGCTTTGGATATTGTCTAACACTCATCTCACTGCTCAAAATGTTCATCCCCTTCCTAGTCCCCTCCCAGAAAGTCTACTCATTTTATTTCACACGACTACACCAGAGTTGTAAGGAATAAATATTGCAGTAGTAGCTCTGGTTTCTCCTTGAGCGTATACACCTGATCTGTACTCTGAATTGGTTGGCTTTCCTTCTGATGAAACGATATGAAGGGCTGGGAAGGTGGCTCAGTGGTAGAGTGCCTGCCTAGCATGCGTGAGGACTGTATTTGGTTCCTCAGTACCACATACACAGAAAAAGCCACAAGTGGGGCTGTAGCTCAAGTAGAGTGCTGCCCTTCAGCAGAAGCTCTGAGACAGTGCCCAGGCCCTGAGTTCAAGCCCCAGGACTGGCACCATAAACAAAGTTGAGCCATTGTATAACAGTGCCCTAGACTAAACATTTCTTCATACTGTGTCCCAGTTTCTCAAATATTATTATTGCTTTGTGGCCTATTTAAAAGCTCAGCTCTGGGTTTTTTCTGTTTCATTCTGAGGTGCAAGGCAGAGATGCAGCTGCGGATAGACACGTGCTGTAATGGTGAACAAGTTCACAGGGAGCCTCCAAGTACGGGTCTTAGAATCTTCCTTTGGCTAGTGGTCCCAGGAGTGTGAAGTTGAAGGTCTCTGAGATAAGGGGAGGGGACTGCCTTTTGTTAGAAAGTAATTAGCTAATGCAGAAAATTGGGACCCAGGTGTGGTAGTGTACTTTTGTAATCCTAAAAGGTAAGAGGATCACAAATGTGGGGCTAGCCTAGGCTCTGTAACACATTCTTGTCTTCAAGAAAGATGGAGGAGGAGGGGACTGTAAACTTGAGATTGGCATCTACAAACCACACGTGCTGAATTGTGTGCCTGTATGGTGATGGTGCCGGCTTGTAGAGCAGCTCTGATGACCCCAGGACCCTGTCAGTGTGGCCAGGTCTGGCCAGCCTCAGTGGAGCCCTGGGCGTGGGGTACCTGGAGAGGAATCTGGACTCAGGCCTTACTTGTAGTTTGACTTGGCTCTTTCCTCAGCTTTCCAAGCCTCCACATATAAGAAATAGTCACTGGGGTTTGTGCTCCTTAGCTGTTACTACAGGAGTGGTTAGCGCATCCGGTGACATGCTGTAACTTTTAGGGATTCACTACTGCAGGATGTGGGAGGAAAGTCCACCTGACGGCAGCCCTGGTGGTGATGTCTGTCCCTTGCTTGGTGGGACAGTGGCAGTCCCAGCACCCTTGCTGGGGCCTATACCTGGCATCTACTTCCTCATCTGTGTGCTTGTCCAGTGCACCACATACTAGACAAAATACTGTCTCCCCAGGGCTACAACACTGAGCCCCAAACTCTGCTGGGCCCAGTGTTTTCATGTGATCAGTTCTGTGCTGACTTGTGGAAGGTTTTGTGCGGTTGAGGAGCTTTGACTTGAGCTTTGGTGACTATCTTTGTTTGAGTTAGAAACACCTGGGCACCAGTGAATCACACCTGTAACTACTACTTGGGAGGCAGAGGTTGCGGGATTCATAGTTCAGCTAGCCCAGGCTCATGGCCAGCATAGGCAAAAAGTTTGAGACCCTAGTCTCAACAGAAAAAATGGCGGTGGTGGCACACCGTTCTCATTCCAGCTGCAGTGGGAAGCCTTCAGTGCAGACCAGACAGAATCTGCAGGCTGTGGAGACGTGAGCAGGTGGCTCCACTGCATCGCTAGCATCTGACCAACTGGCATTACGATGGATTGTACATCACAGCTTTGCCACTTTTCCTGTTCTTACTAACAGTATCTTCAATTAACTTGTCCAGAGGGTGACAAAGTACATGGAGACACCCACCCACCCACCCACCTAGGTGATAGAAGTACCATCCTCCAAGCCCCCATGGTGGAAAATACATGGAAGAAGATCTTGTTCATTTCCCCTGAAAAGATTAAATTCAAGCTTGTTTTAAAAAAAAGTTACAATTGAATTCTTAAAGTACTAGTCTAGCTTTTATTGATAATAGGAATTTGCTCTTCAGGGTTTTGTTGTTTTGGTCTGGGGCGGGGTGGGGGGGGGGTGTTAGGGCTTGAACTCTGGGCCTGGGCACTGTCCCTGAACTTTCAGGCTTAATCCTATGACTTTGAGCCACAACTCTACTTCTGGCTTTTTGGTGGTTAATTAAACATGAGATTCTCAGGGACTTTTCCTTGCTGGGATGGCTTTGAGCCATAACACTGGGACTTTAGCCTCCTGAGTAGTGAGGACCACAGATGTAAGCCACAAAGTGCCTGGCCTGTAACTCCAGTTTTATAGCTTAGCTAGTGAACAGAGCCTTTGAGAGTTTGTTGTTGGAGATAAAAGGTTTAGGTCAGGTGGTAAAGCACCTGCTTGGTAAGTTCAAGGCCCTGAGTTCGAACCACCACACTGCCAAAAGTAAAAAGGTTTAATAGGGCATTTTTCTTTTGAAATAAAGTGTAATCATGATCACAAATACTGCTGAGAGCTGTCTCATAAGTAAAACTTGTTTAATTTTAAGATTTTAAGAACTATTTTCTCTAACATTATAGAATGCTTACTAATTTAGAGGTAAGGTTGCTTCAGAGACGGGTGGCAGTGCATTTCCTCCTGCCTCAGCCTGCCTTTAATTCCTTTGCAGCCGTGAAAGATGATAGGAGGACAGAGGACAGAACTGTGGTAGCCTCAAAGAAAATAGCTCCTCCTGGATCCTTGGTGGGCAGACAGCCTTCGCCTAGAAGTCTGGTTCCAAAGAAGCCTTCTCCCTTTGCGAATGTGCCAGGAGCCAAGGCGACCGCTAAAAAGTCACCCTCAGGCTTCAAGGGCACCATCCCCAAGAGGCCGTGGATCGCCGCTGCTCCTTCAGGTGCTGCTGCCAGGCAGGCAGGAGCCATGTCTACTGCTGTGACGGCAGCTCCCAAAAAGTCCCCTGGCTCTGCAGCTGTGACCGGAGCCATCAGGAAGCCAATGGTAGCCAATGCTGCTGCAGCCGCTCCAGCCCCAGGCCGCATCGGTGCCTCCGGCCCGGCCCCAGCACAGCCAAACTCACAAATACGGCAAAATATAAGGCGCTCCTTGAAAGAGATTCTATGGAAAAGGTGGGCTGTTCATGACATCCTTTGAAATAGAAGGTGTTCTATTGTCAAGATTTCCCCACTGTTGAAAAGGTCATACATGTAAATGCAAATGGCTGATAGAGTCCTTTTTCTTCCGCTCAGAGTCAGTGACAGTGATGACTTGATCATGACAGAAAACGAAGTAGGAAAAGTCGCCCTCCACATCGAAAAGGAAATGTTTAACTTGTTCCAAGTTACAGATAATCGCTATAAGAGTAAATATCGCAGCATCATGTTCAACCTAAAGGACCCCAAGAATCAGGTCTGTGCATCAACACTGCAATTCTGGGGATGTCTGGCCTTGCGGTTCACATTAGCAGTCTCGCAGTAGCACACGAGTCAGGGCAGTGTGAGGTGTTGGGTCCTTGCCTGTTGTGGCCCCGGTGGCCTGGACTGACTTCTGGAGTTTTTTCCTTCACCTCTCAGCCCCTTACCTGTGTTTTAGTATCTGGACCAAGTAACATAGCCATGGTCAGCCAATGCCTAGTAGGAGTGATCACTCCCTGCCTTTAACCTAACTTTACCTTTTGTGTTCCAAATTGCGTACCTAGTCTGTTTTCCTGAGGAGGGAGGTGCTGGGTTTTCAGCATAGTGCTGCAACATGGTTTTGAAGTCCAGACCTTGTGCTTCCTCCTGAGGCCTCTAGCAGTAGAGTGCGTTGGCTCTGTTTATGTGGCCCCTGCCCTCTGAGTCGGATTTCTTGTGTTGCTTTATGCCTTCGTACTGCTCCACATAAATGCCCAGACGTTGAGTGAGAGGTGTTTGTTTACAGGGACTTTTCCATCGAGTTCTGCGAGAGGAGATTTCCTTGGCAAAACTGGTGAGGATGAAGCCAGAAGAGCTTGTGTCCAAAGAGCTTTCCGTGTGGAAAGAGAGGCCGGCAAAACCTGTGAGTGCCAATGGAGTGCTGCCTGAGGCTTGGCTCCATCTTCCCCTGGGATGCAGGGCTGACCACCTCTGCTTCCGCCTTTTTCATTGTAGGTGGCCGAGTCCAGGGCTAAGTTGCATCCTGAAAGTAAGAAGACCACTGTTAAGTCAGAAACCATTCCTGACATGGAAGATTCCCCACCAGTGTCAGATTCAGAAGTGAGCATTCAGGGCTGACAAAACTCATTCCAAATGATGAACAAGGAACTGAACTTAAACACCTATACGCCTATGAATATAAAATCACAGTATTTTCTTAAGTACCTGTGTTGAGTATGCTCTTCTTGGGGGTGGTTCTTGGTATTTTTGAGACTAGGCCTCCCAGTACAGGCTTGCTTTGCACTTTTAGTCCAGTCTCCAGGGAACAAAATACTACACTATGGGTATGCATGGTCCTCATTAGTGGGCCCTGTTTCCTTGTGGTCCTTAGTTATGTAATTTGTAGAAAACTTTGGAAAAGAAATGGCCTGCTCATGTTGGTCTGTTCCCTTTGTGTCTAGGAGCAGCAGGAGTCAGTACGAGCTGCCCCCGAGAAGAGTGCAGCCCCTCTCTTGGACGCCTGCAGCAGCATGTTGAAGGACACGACAAGTCAGCACCGGGCCCATCTTTTTGATCTAAACTGTAAGATTTGTACAGGTAAGCATAATCTGGAGACAGGATCTAGTTGAAATTCACGTACCCTTCTAAGGCTGGAGGTGTGGCTCAATGGAAGAGCACCTGCCTAGCAAGCACAAGGCCCTGAGTACAAACCTTAAACTGCCAAAAAACAAAACATTTACCCACTATCCTCTTCAGAATGATGGTATTCCACCCAAGTTTAGGCAAACAAAAAAGATGAAAGGGTTTTTGTGATGTTTACAGAGTTGCTTTTGTTGGTGTTTTTGTGTGCTGGTCCTGGGGCTTGAAACTCAGGGCTTGGGTCCCTGAGTGTTTTTTGCTCAAGGTTGGCACTCTGCCATTTGAGCCACAACTTCACCTGTGGCTTTTGGTGGTTAATTGGAGATTGTCAGGCTTTCCTGCATAGGCTAGCTTCAGATAGACTAGATCTTCAGATCTCTCCTCAGTGGCTGTGGTTATAGGCATGAGCCGCCAGCACCTGGCTGCTTTTGGTACTTGGACAGACATCATCACCTACTCACAAGAAGTACTGAGTGATTTCTCATTCAGTTTTCTTATCAATTCTCTAGGTCAGGTTCCATCATCAGAAGATGAACCAGCTCCTAAAAAACAAAAACTGTCCACTTCTGTGAAGAAAGACGACTTGAAGTCCAAGTATGACAGCTCTCCCTCTGATCCAGTTCCTGGCTCGGCTGGTGAAAGGATCACAGAGACTTTGCCTGAAAGTGCTTCTGAGCCAGACCTGGGAAGTGCTTCTCATCCACTCCTGGAGAGGAGATGCTTCCCTGGACCCTCAGGAGAGGATCACCCTGAGCCTTCCCCACTGGAAGGCCTCCCTGCGTCTGCAGCCTCCTGCGGGGCTGGAGTGGTCACTACCGTTACCGTGTCCGGCCGAGACCCCAGGACTGCTCTGAGTGGATTGTGCACAGTCACCACCTCCACTGTAGCCCACCTAGACAGCACCCACACAGCAGAAGCCAAATCTGACATGCTCAAGCCTGCTCTGACCCCTGTAATGGTGCCGAAGTCCATACTGGCTAAGCCGTCCCCATCCTCTGACCCAAGATACCCGTCGGTTTCATCATCACCAAATCTCAGGTATGAATGAACAAAGAATATTTGTGTTTGTTTTGCGTTAATGAGAAGAAGCTAACTTTCCTTGGTCAGATTTGATTTGTCGATTTGATCATTGTGATTAAAATAGTTAATTGGCAAAAGTAAGCTATCAAACTTGATCACTTCTGCTTCTGAATGTAAAGTCTCTATACTTTGGAATTCCTGTTTTACAAAAAGATTTACCTGTTTTTAAAATGCTTTTGTCTTACAGCGTCTCCGAGTCGCGGTCACCCCCAGAAGGAGACACAACTCTCTTCTTGTCTCGCCTTGGCACTATTTGGAAAGGATTTATTAACATGCAGAGTGTAGCAAAATTCGTCACTAAAGCGTATCCTGTCTCTGGGTGTTTTGATTACCTCAGTGAGGTTAGAACCAACCAAGACAGTGTGTGAATGTGTGGGTGTGCCTTGTGGGAGTTACACATGTGGCACCCAGACCTTTGGCGCCCTGTAGGGTAAAGCAGAAGTGACTGGGGTGAAGCTGTGTGGATGGGGTAGAAGCATGGATGAGAAGTCACGCATCACAGTTACATGTTTAGTCAGGGCTTTCCCATGCCAGATCTTGCATTTCAAAACTAAGGCAAGGACAAAACCTTTGCAAGGACATTGAGCCAACTGTGTGCTCATAGGCAGTATCTTCGGATTGTGATCCTGGTCAGCAGACCACCCTTGGGTTAGGGACTCAGTCCTGGGTGGCAGTTCTGAATTTTGGGTGTTGGGTGCCTTGAGGCTCCTGTGTTGACTTGTTTCTGAACACTGCAGTTCCCTCGTTACTGACTCTAAGCTCTTGTTTAGGACTTGCCCGACACGATCCACGTTGGTGGGAGGATTGCTCCGAAGACAGTTTGGGATTATGTTGGCAAGCTCAAGTCTTCCGTGTCTAAGGTATCCGCTCATAGTATGATCTCAGCAGCAGTGGGAGATGCTGTTTGTAATCACATCTTTTTAACTTTTACTTGTAACGGGCTAATATTTGCAATAGCAGCCTGAAACTTACTAGATAATTAAAATACTTACAGAAATTTTAAGTAGATGTGAAGGTATGTTTGAGTAATACACGAGCAGGTATTTGCTTCCGACTTACTGTAATTGTATACAGTTAAAATTCAGTGTACACAGGCTTTGCTTCTTTCTCATGACTGAAGGTTCTAGAAGGTGGGGCAAGAGGGGTTTAGGAGCCTCAGACACTGGGCCAGGGCCTGAGAGCTGGCTCTGACTTCCACAGAGCCCCTGAAGCCCAGCTGTAGCTGATGTGTGCAGTGTCCTTTGGTGGGGATGGGCTCCTGTTTTCCTTACGGTCACAAAAGGAGTTAGACCCTGTTGTTGAGGTTGGCTCTCCTGTGTGGACACACCCAGACTTCCCTGCAGGCCCCACAGCCTGTCGCCATGGCCTCCATCATCACACATGTAAAAACTTGCTCTGTTTCAGACACTGCTCAGCTGATGCCACACAAGGATCACTCGCTGACAGCCCTGTGAGGTGGAGGCTGAGCGAGGTTCAGGCTGAGACCAAGGTTTCAGGCCCAGCACTCTGGAGCTGAGCCTGTATCATCTTTACACCTGCTTAGTAGAACTATGGAAGTCAGAATTTGCTCAGACCCATTCCGGGTCCTGCCTCTGAGGTTCAGGCTTGGGCTGGAGGGGTGCTGGTTTTAGGGCAGCCACAGGTGAAGGCTTCGCCCTGTGCTCTGCTTGCCTTGCAGGAGCTCTGTCTGATCCGCTTTCACCCTGCAACAGAGGAGGAGGAGGTCGCCTACATTTCTCTCTACTCCTACTTTAGCAGCCGTGGCCGCTTTGGGGTTGTAGCTAATAACAGCAGGCACGTGAAGGACCTCTACTTGATTCCACTGAGTGCTAAAGACCCCGTGCCATCTAAACTCTTGCCCTTTGAGGGACCAGGTAAGCGCCCATTTCCTGGGGATCATTAGGCACATTGGGTTCCTACATCTCTCTCCACTGGCAGGGAGTGCTACCCAGTGGTCACCAGGTAGATCGGTCTGCCCCACATGCTTCTTCCTAGAAGCCTGTTCTCTGAAGCATAGGGAAGTGGCCCTGCAATTCCGTCTAGTAGTATAAAAAGTACCCCAGATGTGGTACAAGGAAAAGGCCTGATGCTTCCAACCAGCCCGTTCACAGCCTCAGATGAGTGGACCATGCCGAATGCCCAGGACTCGACCGTCCTCGAGAAGAGGAAGGCTTCTGGCAGGAGGCTCAGCTTGGAGTAAGTCGGTGTCTGTGAGTGGCCTCCTCCTTTCTGAGGGTGTCTCTCCCACAGGCTGGATTCCCAGGGGCCGGAGAAACAGTAACAAAAGCGTTTCTCAGGATGATTACTTATAAGTCCACTGCTCAAGGTTTTCTTTTTCTTTTTCTTCTTTTTTTTTTTTTTTTTTTTTGTGGGTCCTGGGCTTGAACTTAGGGCCTGAGCACTGTCCCTGAACTTTGTTGCTCAAGGTTAGCACTCTACTACTTAAGCCCATGACCCCACTTTTTGGTGTTTAATTGGAAATATAAGTCTCATGACTCCCCTGCCTAGGCTGGCTTCAAACCTCGATCCTCAGATCTCAGGCTCCTTCCTAAGTAGCTAGGATTACAAGTGTGAGCCACCAGCACCCAGCCCACTGCTCAAGTTTTAATATGTTCCTTTCACCTTTGGCAAACCGTTTTTGTGTTTTGTCATTCCTTAGAAGTACTATTTAAAGGATTATTTACAAAATAACCTAAAAAGTACTCCCAATTTGTCCTTGGTTGAGTTGATTCTCAAGGAGACTTGGTCCAAGGGTTCCAGTTCTTTCTTAGACCCTTTGAAAAGTTGACATAGCTTCAGTTAAGGAATTGGCACTGGATACCTGAATTGAGTGTCTTCTTGACTGTACTGTCACCAGAGGGCTGGCCTAGTTTTTGTCTGGCACATACTGAATGTGCTTTGGAGGGCTGCTCCAGGTGCTGCCCACACCTGTACCACCATACCTTGGTCCATCGCTAGCCTGGGCAGGTTCACCTAAGGTAAATGGAATCCAAGGGCCCAAGTCCCTCATCCCAAGCGCGACCTCTGCCCACTTGGAACCTGTTCTTGGCACTTGGCATTGCTCAGCCTTTTGGAATTGTGTGCTCATAAAAGTATTAGTTGGTGTCAGTAATTCCAAGGTTAAATATTAATTGGCATGATGCATTGTTATTTTAATGCCAAGCACATTTCAAAAGCCAAGTGCTGTAGAAGGTCTTATCAAGTCCTATTTGGGGTAAAGAAATGCCACCTGTGGTGTGGCAGAAGGTGCCCGGGAGGTACTTGGTGACAGCTGTGTGAAGAGCACTGGCCGGAGTGCTCAGGACCCAGGGGAGGAGGTGTGCTGCTCTCCTGGAGGTGAAGATCCGCAAGCTGGCCCTCAGCACCTGTGAAGAGTGGCGGGTCACAAGTGTGTAAGCCTGTGGGAAGGGGTCAGTACACCTGGGCTTCTGTGGTAGGGAAATGTGACACCATAAGCACCGTCCAATCTTGGGTTCACAAAGAGCCTTTCCATTAGAGAGGCGGGTCCCAAGTCTTACTAAACAATTAAAGCAGTTCCATCCTCTCCCTGTCCCTGCCCTATCTCCAGTCCAGCATTGCCAGTTGAGGGGAGTCGGGTAACAAGCACGCTGAGAGTGCGAGTGGGCCTGGGGGACGTGACGGGACCCTCTGTGGTCCCTGCGAGGGGGCGTGGGAGGTGTAGAAGGACCCCCTGTGGTCTGTCCCTGCCAAGCGTGGGAATGGGTGGCGGCAGCAGTAGCTGGGAGAACGGGAAGGGTCGAAGGAGCAGAGCCTCCACGTGAGCCACGTGACCCGTCACATACAGTGTGACGAGAAAGCTCCCCAGGAGCCCGTGGCCAGCATTCACAGTTACAGCAGGGACAGGACAGGGCCACGCCTTGCTTCTAGACAGCACAGCAGGGTGGGAGCTGGGGAGGAGCTCACCTTTGCCCCCCAAGTATAATGGGTGCTGGCCACAGTTCCTGCTCGGTGTCCAGCCAAGCGGACACCACTGCTTATCACAGCGTGCACGGAGGCCCTCACACGCCTCGCCGGGGACACTGAAAAGACAGGCGGATCCAGCACAAGAACGAATACGCTTTGCTCAGGTGGGAAGGAGAGCTGTAGGAGAGTAGTTAATGGAGTACTGCCCGCCAACTTTTGAGGACTTTTTACGTAAGGACTTCACTATCTGTTTTCATCTGCCTGCTCCACTGGCTAGAGTGATTGGGTGTGACATTTGCACACGGGGGCACAGCAGCCTAGGCCCAGACCAGGCTGGGGGCTGCACCTGCCTCACACACTGATAGGTTGGCTTGGCATTTCCCAGGTACAGGTGTATGTGTGTGTCCCGTTCTGTAGTGCGTGCGTGCATGCGGGTGTGCGTGTGGGTGTGTGTAAGACAATCTTGCAACCTGTCTGCCCAGAGCCCCGTCCTCACAGCCCAGTCTAAGGACCTGCTTCACAGCATGCTAGGGTTCCTGCACTGCCCCAATCTACACGTCTTAAGAAGTGGTGCGATTGGCACCTGCCTGGACCCCTGGACCCTAAAGCCCTTCTCTTAATGCTAAGGCTCCAGCTCTTCACTCAGCCTGAACACAAAGCTGTGTAAAACCCTATGGAAACACTCCAGCCTTGAGCCACTAGTCAAGGCAAGGACCAGCAGGAACAGAAGCCCCCGCGTGAGCGCCGGGCTGCCCTGCACAGTCACAGGTGCCCCTCCCAAGCCGGGATGCTCACACCGGGAAGCAGACCAAGGCGGGGGGGGGGGGGACACGGGAGCCATCTCGTGGAGCCTCCGGGTGGCCTGCTCCTTACTCCAGTCGTGCCGTAGTGAGCAGAGCCACGGGAACTGCTCCCGTGGACTCCTCAGCACGCACATGGAGCGCTCGTCACCTTAGCACACATCCAGAGCTGCTGGTGTCTCTAGAAAACCGTTGTCCTTCCAGAAGTGGGGTGTTCTTGTTCTGTCAGTGGCGTTTTTAGTGATCCAGAATCCTTTTGTAAATGGAGAGTGAGAAAAGCCTAGATTCTTCTAGCCAAGCAGTCCACCTCTCCTCAGACCCTAACTTAACTGGACTTGAGTCACCATCAGTGCCTGAGGAGTGCCCAGGGCGCCTGGGACGTTGGTCAGAACGAGAGCAATCAAGGGGACGCTCACCTCATCTGTGTCACGGCCCCAGAAGCTTAGATGCCACACAGCAGCAGCCAGGCCGGGGCCACCATGGGGCACTTGACCCTGCAGACGCCTAGCGTGGCTCAGGTCCCCTCTGAACACAGGGAGTCTCCCCAGACCGCCCTCCTCAAGCCCCTCCCTGACCCCATGCAGCCAACATTCCGGGAGGACTGTCAGGCTTAACTGCTCTCTTAGTTGGAAGGTTCTATGCCTTGAATACTGGCAGGTAAGCAGCTCTTCAGTTTTCATGTGTGTATACATCAGCTTTGCACAGAAACTGTAATCAAAGTCAAATATAGCACTGAATGGAATGTAAATACTTTCACATTCTAAATCAATAAAAATATGTCATGGAAACTGGTCACTGTTTGTCTGACTTGGAGAACTACATGGTAGCTTTTGACCACTGCGCTTCTTGTAAGCCATCATGACCGGCCTGGGCTGCAGGCGGCAGCTCCTAGGGACCCTCCACACCCGGCACGTCAGAGTGTGGGCAGGCACTCAGACACCTGGGAGAAGACACACACAGCCCCCTCCCTGTTCCTGAAACATGCCCTGTGCCCAGTAGCTTTGTGCGGGTCTTAGGGACTCAGAACTGAAGAAGGAGGGATCTGTGAGTGCGTGAGTGTGTGTGGGGGTTGGGACTTGTAGTATCTCCCTCTTCATTTGCCAAACCTCTATCCGAGTCACGCTTGAGAACTGTTGCCTACTAACGCCACCCAGTTTCTGTTCCAGCAGGTACAATTCTGTTCTTGGCAGATTCAGACCACAAGAGGGTTCGCCAGGTAGATTTGGGACGTGGGGACCTCATTTTTGATAGCTGTAGCGTCAGGACTTAGATTCAGATGGTTTCTTTAATAGAGGAAAGTGCCATCTTCAGCACAGCAGCCTTGATAACGTGCATGAAGTCACTAGTGAGTACTTCTCGAGCCACCTGTCCAAACTTCCTATTGGCTGACACCCGGACACCAGTCCCCATGTTGGTCATGTCTTGGGAGATTGGCACATGCGTTTTTCAGTGTGCCTCTTGGTCCTTGGATTCTCAGTCCCTATGTATGTAGTCTTAATACCACTGAGGCTGAGGCTGGATCTTTGCACCATGAGAATTTTAAGGAGGGCAGGCAGACAGGAGCTTCAAGGGCTTGTTTTGGTACCTGGGATATCACTCCAAGGGAAAAGGAAAGCAAGTCAGCGCCCCCAACCTTCGTGCTTCTGTTTGAGTGTGCCACCACCTGCTGTAAGCCACTGCCTGGAGAGGGAGGAGCAGTGAGCCCACTGGGCCCAGCACTGGCTCCCAGCCACCCTGGAAGTCTGCACAGCAGCCCTCACGCTGCCTAAATTGGTAGGGTCAACCTGGAAAGCGGAACCTGTAGAATCAGACCTCGTGCTGTGGAGCATGGCCGGGACCTTTTAGCCTCACTTCACATTTTCCTCCCAGTCACCTCACATAGCAAGTTTAGAATGACACTGTCCTTCAGTGAGAGTCCTCAGGCCCAGGGTAGATAAGAATAGAAGATGCTTTCAAGGTACTAGCTACAATCTTAGATAGTAATATACCTGTGGTAGCGTCAACACATAAATTTGCTGTGAGGGAATATGCATTCCGGGGCGGCCATCTTGAGTTTAGCCTCTTGGAGAGGATGTGTGGGGCCCGTCTGTGAAGCTGAGCCCCTCTGGCGTGCACATGGGACAGGAGTTAGCAAAGGTGCTTAAAAACAACTGCTGGTCAGATGTCAGTCTTCAGGCAGCCTGCAGTGCTTAAAGCCAGTGTGAATATAAGTGATGGGAGCCTTGGGAGGGCTTCGACAGGTCATCTGTAGGGTCTTGCCTAGCTGGGATATGCTCGTTCGTTCTTGGGCCGAGCACTGCACGAGGGGAGGGCTGGGACACCATTACTGAAATGTTAACATGCCTGATTTTTTTTTTTTCTTTTTTGGCCAGTCCTGGAACTTGAACTTAGGGCCTACGCTCTACCACTTGGGCCACAGTGACACTTCCAACTTTTTTCTGAATAGTTTATTGAAAATAGTCTCACAGACTTTCCTTCCTGGGCTGGCTTCTAGCCATATCCTCAGATCTCAGCCTCCTGAGTAGCTAGGGATTTAGCAGTGGTGTGTACAAACTCCAACTCCAACCTGTGGGTCTCTTGGATTCAGGTGGCAGAGCCCCTTTCCAGGACAAGTAGTTGACACTGAGCTGCCCCTCGGCTTCTCCACACCACGGCACCCGGCCCTAGTCATCGCGCTGCTCTAACTTCTAACCACAGCCAGCCAGGCCCGTGCTTCCTTCCCTGGGTGTTGGATCTGAACAAGAGCCTCACTTGCAGAGCTGCTCTGTAGACTTCGGCTTGTTCAACAATTCCCTGTTCAAACCTGCTCTGTCGGCTCTGGGACTAGTTTCAACAGACACCTATCTAGAAAGGCCGGGAAAGCTGGTTTAACAGTTGCTCATACATAGCACTGGCTTTGAGTAAACCATAAAGCACTTAGTAAATAGCTACCACAGTGAAAATATTGCTGCCTTTAATTTTAAAATGCCCCTAATTCGTGCCACATGGACCTACAGATTTGTTCAGGGGGAATTCAGATGCATTCAGGGAGCCAGCCTGGCTTTGCCGTTCTTGCCCCTCTGCTGGCTCTTGGACCCATGCCTCTGTCAGTGGGGTCGGGGTCCGCCACAGTTTTCAGCTCAGTCTCAGCTCTTGGAACCGCCACCCCTCCGGGCAGGAGGCCTCAGGATGCCTTGGAGGGAGCAGCAGCTGTGCACAGAGGCTCACAGTGGTCGGCCTGGCCTTCCCTGAATTGTGGGAGGGGTGACCCCTCATGCTCCACTTGCCAATAGCTAGGTTCCTACCAGGAGGCAAAGATGACACATACTTAGAACTACATAACAGTGGCTAAAACAACTACATGTAATTTATGTTAATCTTTAAAATCACTAAGAATAAGAAAATGATGTGGATAAAGTACTTTTGAAATGTCACAATAATGTTAAATTACCTGTAAATTAGATGCATGATTTAATTTTAGGTCTGTCGGTGATACTGAAACACTGTCCTTGATCATGTTCTTCTAAGTTACTATTTTATTACCCGGACTTTTCTCCTTGGCATCCTCACTTTATTTGAGTAGTAGCTGTGGCACCGGTACTGAAATAAAAATGTTCATTAACACTCCTGATCTTGAAATAACCCTTTTTTTTTTTTTTTTTTAATTTTTGCTGGTCCTGAGACTTAAAGAGCTTGGGCTCTGACCATGAGTCGCCTTGTGCTCTAGGCTAGGGCTGTGCCGCTTGAGCCACAGTGACTCTTTGGCTTTTTCTGAGTAGTTTACTGGAGCTAAGAGTCTTACAGACTTGCCTTCTGGACTGGCAGCAAACCTATCCTCAGATCTCAGCCTCCTGAGTAACTAGGGTTACAGGCATGAGCCACCAGCACCTGACTTTAGAATAACCTTTTTTAAAGAAATAATTAACTTTAAAAGCAGTGTGTACTAAAACTTTCCTCCCTATGGTGGGCTTTTTACCTCCAGGGTATTAAATGCCTTGTTCTTAGGAAGTCTTGAGTATTAGACAGACAGACAGATATAATTTACATAGTTATTAGTTAGATATTAGGAGTTGGGGTTGGGAGGGGGGCTGTTTAGTTGTATATTGTGGGGCTTGAACGTAGGCCTGGGTGTAGTCGCTGGGCTCTTTTGCTCAAGTCTAGCACTCTACCACTTGGAGCCATAGTGCCACTTCTGGTGGTTCATTAGAGATAAGAGTCTCACAGACTTTCCTCCATAGGTTGGCTTTGAACCACAATCCTCAGATCTCAGCCTCTTGAATAGTTAGGGTTACAGGTGTGAACTACAAGTGCACTTTTTGGATTTTTGTTTTTTGGCTTTTTCCCTTTTTTTTTTTAGGTCCAAGACCAGGACTTGAACTTGGTACCTGTCACTTTTGCTCTACCAACTGAGCCATGTCTCCAGCCCCTTGTTGTTGTGAGACTTAGTCTTACTAGATGTACTTCAAACTTGAGTGGGCTAGTCCCTAATCAAAACAGTTACCATTCATATGTTTAGCCTAACTTACGTGTGGCAAGTCATAAATCTGAAAAGGACTATGCCCTTCCTGACGTGTAGGAAGGGGCAGGAGAAAGCCTCGCCAAAGGCCTGGGGGGTGGCTGGATCAAGCAGCTTTTGCCCAGCAAGCATGAGGTCCTGAGTTCAAACCTCCGTACCACCCCTCTCCCCACAAAAGCACAGCTGAGATGCTGTCCACAATGTTCGTACACTCGGGTGCTTTCCCCACAGCCCATGTAAGAGGTCGATACGTAGCTTTCCCTACCCTCTCCGCTGCGCACTGCTGCCTTAGCATTAGACATAGCTTAAAAACATGGAACAAAATTGTGATGGTGGGATTCATTTTCTTAAGACTTGAGCCCTTGGTTTATTTTTAGACAGCTGCTACTAGGGCCAGACAGACACGGACACATTCAGGACTTGGGACCACCTGGTCTTTTGCAAAAGACAAAAAAATCCTTTCTCACAGAGGTCTCCCTTCACTTATTAAACATTGCTCCTGAAAAGACCGTCGTCCCGATGAAAACGGGATTTAGAGTCTAAAATCTACAATTATTTTGTTTTCCAGGCCTTGAGTCACCACGTCCAAATATAATCCTCGGGTTGGTGATCTGTCAGAAAGTAAAGCGCTCTTCCAGTGCCGGAGAGGGAGATGAGAAACGGGCCCGGCTTCCGCAAGAAGAAGCGGATGTTTCAGTCTATCCCAAAGCAACGTCAGCCCTGCAGTCTGAGAAGCAGCCCAGCAGGTGCCCGCTGTACCCTGCGGACGTGGCTGTCAGCACCACGCCCCCCGGCTCTCCTCCACCTCCACCCCCTCTCCCCGAACCTCCCGGGACGAAAATACTGCCGTCCCTTAAGCCAGAGGCCACCGGCACGGCCACAGTGCCTCCCACGTCAGCCGCCAAGACCGCTTCACCCCTGGAGCACATCCTGCAGACTCTGTTTGGGAAGAAAAAATCATTTGAGCCCCCTGCTAAAGAGTCTGCAGGACTTCTTCTGGCTCCCCATCCCGATTCCAAAGCCCAGGGCGACGACAGTGGCCCTGCAGCGGCTCCTTTGCTAGACCCAATCGTCCAGCAGTTTGGTCAGTTCTCAAAAGACAAGGCTTTAGAGGAGGAGGAAGACGACCGTCCCTATGACCCCGAAGAAGAGTATGATCCTGAAAAGGCCTTTGAGGCCCCTCCTGCCGAGCGAGGAAAGCTCCGTGACGTGGAGACGGCTCCTGAGACGGCCGAGAGGGAGGAGGTGGCCTATGACCCCGAGGATGAGACCATCCTAGAAGAAGCCAAGGTGACCGTGGATGACCTACCCAACAGGATGTACACAGACATGAGCAGCAGCTCCTCCGAGAGGCCTGTGGCGTACATGGCCGGTGTCTCTACGCCCTCTCTGGTTGAGCAACAGAAAATGCTAGAAGAACTGAACAAGCAGATTGAAGAGCAGAAGCGGCAGCTGGAGGAGCAGGAGGAAGCTCTGCGGCAGCAGCGGGCGGCTGTCGGGGTCTCCATGGCACACTTCTCTGTGTCGGACGCCCTGATGTCGCCACCCCCCAAGTCGTCGCTGGCCAAGGCAGAGCCGTTCGCACAGGAGCCGCAGGCCTCAGACCTCAGTCAGGGAGCACTGGCAAGCCACGGCCCGGACGCCAGGCAGAACAGAGACCCACGGCAAGCCAGGCGGCTGGCGGCCGAGAGCATCGATAGTGAGCCACCCCCCAGGGTCCAAGTGGGCAGCGCGCTGGGCCTACAGAGCCCCCTGCCTGGGAGGGAGACGCCTGCTGGGGTCACAGCCGGCCAGGGGCCCGCACTGGGCCAGGAAGCAAGGGAGCCGGGGATTGCCCCCTGGGCTCCGGCCGAAAAGGCTATGCCCATGCCCGAGCAAGAAAGCCAGCGGTGTGAACACCCCGGAAACCCCGTGCCGCTGCCCTTGGAGAACATCCACCCCCCAGGCGCGGGGGAGAACGCAGCCAGGCCTGCCCGAAGAGTGCTGCTGCCCACCCCCCCGGGCCCCGCCTTCCAGCCCGGCTTCCCCCTGCAGAACGACGCGCAAGGCTTCGGCGCTCCCGGGGCTCGGGAGCCTTTCTCCAGTCCAGTGTTTGCACCTCAGGAAAAGCCTCTGGTCCCATCCCAGTATGAGGACCTAAGGAACATTCCGGCTGCCGGGAAGAGCGACAGCCTGCCCGTGGACACGGAGGGCGGCAGGGAGCCGCATCCCAGGCCTTTGGAGGGCACGGCTCCTTTCCTCTCTCCGGGGCAAAGGGGAGGGCCCCCTCCCCCCCAGTTTCCCGGCCAGCGCGAACTCACACCTCGCACTTTTGGGGTGCCAGGACTCCATGGCCCCAATTTCCCAGGTCCAAGGGGAGCTGTCCCTCCATTTCCAGAAGAGAGTATGGTTCCTAACAGTGAGGGGCCGAGAGGCCCTCTGCCCGTCAGGTTTGGGGCCCAGAAGGGGCCCATTCCGTCCTTATTCTCGGGGCAGCGCGGGCCTCCGCCTTTTGGGGACAGCAGGGGCCCCTCGGCCTCTTACCTTGGGCCCAGAGGCGGCGCCCCCGGCCAGTTCGAAGAGCACAAGGATCTTCATGCAGACCAGCGGGAATCGCAGGACGCCCCGATGGGCGAGATGCCCGGCCCCTCCGCCCCGTGTGACGGACCGGAGCAGGCTCCATTCATGGGGAGCAGGGGCCCCACGCCTTTCCAGTTTGGAGGCCAGAGGCGGCCTCTTCTGACTCAGATGAAAGGGTCTCGTGGAGGTCCCCCACCCTCTCAGTTCGGAGGCCAGAGGGGCCCGCCCCCAGGTCATTTTGTGGGTCCTCGGGGGCCCCATCCTGGTCAGTTTGAAGGGCCCCGAGGCCAAGCACCCGGCTTCATGCCTGGCCCCCGTGGTGTTCAGCCGCAACAATTTGAGGAACAGAGGGTGAACTCACCCCCCAGATTTGCGGGGCAGAGGCCCACGGCACCCCTGCCGTTTGGGGGGCCGAGGGGCTCTGCACCCTTCTCCGAAAAGAACGAGCAGACAGCTCGATTTCACTTTCAAGGCTCGTCCTCCCAAGCGGGGAAGCCTCCGCCGAGGCCCCTGCTGGAGCTCCCCAGCCACCCTGCACAGCACCGGAAGGACAGGTGGGATGACGCAGGCCCAGCCCTGCCCTCAGGCGCAGCGCCCGGACAAGGCCCGGAGGCCGATGGGCAGTGGGCAGTGTCGGACTTCCGAGAAGGCAAAGGCCACGAGTATAGGAACCCGGCCTTTGAAGGGAGGCAGCGGGAGCGGTTTGAAGCTGGCCCCAAAGAAAAGCCACTGGACGAGCTTGAAGGGCCGGACAGCAGGCAAGGCCGGGGGTTTGAAGACAGGAGGCGAGATCGGGAGCGTGGCAGGAACTGGAGTCGGGAGAGAGACTGGGAGAGAAGCCGGGAGTGGGAGCGACACCGGGAGAAAGACTGCGGCCGGGACTGGGACCGGGGCCGGGAGAGGAGCACCGGCAGGGACCAGGGCCGGGAGAGGAGCAGGAATCGTGACCGGGACAGGCGGCGAGACCGAGACAGGTCCCGCAGCAGAGAGCGCGACCGCGACCGCGAGAGGGCCCGGGACAAGGAGCGGGAGTGTCGGGAGCGCGGCCGCGAGGCCAAGGACAGCAAGGAGCACGGCCGTGGCCGGGAGGGCGGCCGCGACCCGAAGCCCGAGGCGGCCAGGACCCCCGAGGGGGGCGCTGCCGCCTCCTCGCAGGCCTAGAGGCCTGTGGGGCCCTGCCAGAGGCGTGTGCGGCCGGAGGGGTGTCCTCCGGGACACAGGCCCACCTGTGAAGGATCCTCTTAAAATGCCAAGTTCATAAAATGTGTTGAGCAGAGAGTTTTTGAAACAGCTATGAACTTAAATGCAGGATAGAATCTTCTGGACTTTTTAAGAATTACTGTAATGTGGTGTGTAATGGTTTCTTAAACTGTTCCCATCTCTTCAACTCTTTTCTTTTAAAAAACCCAAAACCTCAGTGTTTCCATTTAAGATTAGAGAAATGGGAAAATGCCTATAAAAAGCATATTGCTTTTTCATATTATAAAGTTATCTTTTCCAATAACTTGACTGGTGTAGATATTAAGGGAATTTCAGTAGACTTGTAGAGCCGTAGCTTTTCTGGCATCTTGTCTGCTTCGTGTTCCCGAAGCTGCTGTGGAAGGCTGGGCCCACGGCCCGGCGGGGGCTGGGGCTCCCCTTGCAGTCTTGGTAGCTTACCTGGAATGTATTGTCTTAGAAATTTTTTCCAAAACCAATTTAAAGCAACATCAGACCTAGTAGAAATTGTTTCATTTTAATAGCAGGTTACTGAAAAATGTTCAGTTTGTCAGCCTAATGAAAAAGTAAAGCAATTAAGAATATTTTAAGAGGGTGGGTGGGTGTCTCCCTTGGATGTGTACAATCAGGAATGAGTTGTGAAATTCTGCCCTCCAAGCAGCTCCCCAGGTGCTGGGCTGGGCGCCAGAGCCGGCTGCCGTGTGCAAGGTGATCATTTGAAGGTTTGTCACTGGAACGGAGCAATATTTGTACAAAGTCTGAAGTTGAGAAGGGGGTGGTATTTCAAGGATAGGCGAGGTCAAGGATGTTCCCGTGGGAAGTGTGAATAGAGAAAGCCTTGCTAACTTATTTGCCTGTACAAATACACTTTGATAATTCTTTTTATATTTTCATAAACTTTCTTTTGCAGATACAAAATTAGAAAATTTCATTTGTTCTTTGAGGTCTTTTATTCCATTGTACATCACTACAGATTTTTCACTTTATAGCACAAATTTTCAGTTGAGAAAACATTGACAGCGCTTTGGACTGTCTGGTGATACACGCCAAGTGTCAGTAGCTAAATAACATTGAAGTGAGTGAAAGTTGCAACATCTAATATGATGCACAGATTTTTTTACGTATAAAGCAAATTTTTCTAATTTAAATACCCAAGTGTAAAAATCAAGTGTGTTTCTTTAGGTTTACTTGATAGAAATTTCTGTACATTGTATTTTGTATTGCAGAGTGTTATATCACTGTACATTACAACACAGGACTTCGTAGGTTTTGTTACTTGAAGTAGAATAAATATCCACAGAGTTCTTGTCTGGGTCTTCACTCAGCGTAACCCCTGCTGCAGGGGTGCGGCCAGGGCTGCCGCAGAACCTTGGCAGGCAGGGCCTCCCGGAGCCTGTCTTGGGGTACTGAGGGCCTCTCCCTGTGTTTGCGATGGGCAGTTATAACCGGCTGGAGATGGCTGGTGACTGGCCCAGAGAGCCCCTTGCCTGCGGGGCGGAGGCCACCGCCGGAGGTTTAATTGCTGATGGCGACCTGTGGTTGGAGCAAAACATAGGTGCAAGAGGCGTGAGCCAGCATTCTTTGATGGAGTGTCCCCCAAAGCCTGGCCCTTTGCCACTGAGGGGGTGTCTGGGTGGTTAAGCTGCTGGTTGGGCGGGCTGAGTTGGTGGACAAGGGTGCTGTCTCCTGGTGACACTGCCTGCTGAGACCACCTGGCCAGCCAAGAGCAGAGACCCTGCGGGGGTCTTGTGAGCCAGAGCTTGCTGAGCAGAGAGTTGTGGCACCTGTGGCATCTCTGACCAACCACCGTCCCCTTGGGCTGGTCCTCAGGTCCTCTGAGGCGTCTGGGGGCCACGCAGCCCACTGGCATCCCGTGGCCACCCAGGCCACCTTTGTGCTGGCCCTGCCACCTTGGAAACACTTGTTCTGCCCTAAGCAGCACAAGGACACCCACCCCAGGAAGACACTTGAGCTCCACAATGGTAAAGGCCAGGTGCTGCTGCCAAGATGTGCTCCACACAGCGCCACCCGCAGGATGGGCAGACCCCGCAGGTGTCTGGATATGTCATCGTCGTCCATCCCAAGCCTGTGGGAACCCTTTGTGGGGTCTTGTGGGCATGACCCCAGCCCTGTCCGGTCTGCAGAGGCCTCACCCTGGCAAGGGGGTCTGCAGAGGCCTCACCCTGGCAAGGGGGTCCGTCAGAGGAACAGCAGTGGGCACAGCGTGGGCCGAGCTCTGGGAAGAGGTGACCAGCACGGCCAGGAAAAGCTCACTGCGCTCGGGGCACAGCAAGCGCCGGAGGAAGCAGAAGACGCTGAGTCTGCCCCGTTCCACACCTGCCGGGGGAGGCGGCACACTGGGAGGCGGCGTGGGCGCCACTGGTGGGGGCCCAGAAGTGTTGGAGCTGTTTCCCTTCATCTTACAAAATGGAGGTTTTATAGGATCTTTTCACCGTCACATTTAGTCATCCCCAGACCTCACCTGGCACCCTGGGTGGGCTGAGCCCGTGTTGGGCCAGGCTGAGCCCGTGGCAGGGCCTCCAGTTACTGGAATTGCAGGGAAGCTTCCCCGAACTCCAGCATTGCAGAAAAGCTGCCGTGGCCCCTCTGCTGCATCTGGAACGCCCGCCGCCTCTTCTGGCGCGGGCGCCTGCGGTCTCACGAGCACGCTGTCCCCAGGGAGCGCAGGGGTCCAAGCCACAGCCGTGCACACTGGGCCCCTGTGTCACGCGGATGGGCCTGCCGTGGACGCCAGATGCCTTGTGCTGGTCGGCACCAGATTGAGGGGACCCGGCTTGTCTTGCTGAGTCAAGCCATCCCTCCGTGGCCCAGCCACCGTCTGGTCCCTGGTCTGCCGTGAGCTGCTGTGTGGCTGGGGGAATGGGGGAAGGTGATGAGGCCCCTCCACAGACAGGAAGGTGACGTGGCCACACAGCTGCCCACACAGGACACTGCCAGGCGGACACCACACATCCACATGGGACACTGCCTGGCCAAGGGGCTAGCTGGAGCGTGCCCAGCAGCTGGGGCAGTTGGCAGGTGTGGATAGATGAAGGATGACCTGAGGGGACAGGAGGTGGCTTCGGGTATCCAGGGCCAGGCGCCCACCGGTGAGGGCTGGACACTGCTGACCACTCCATTGCAGGGTTATCACATGCGTTGCGTGGGCATTGGGACCTTACAGCCCCGGGCCCGGAAGGGAAAACGTGTCATTGAAGACTTCCAGGAGGGGCCTCAGCTTCCACACACATGTACGTGCAAGCAAGTGTACACACGCACACCCACCCAGAAAGTTGAGCAGGGAGGGGAGGGGCAGGGCTTGCCCACTTGGCTACTGTTGCTGGTGTGTTCCTGGTGAGCCGGTGCAGGGGCCACGGCCGGGCGGGTGCCCGCTCTGCAGCCGCTGCTCTTCCTCGGCCCTCTACCCCTCACGCAGAAAACTCAGCCAGACATTCGGAGCAGCACGCAGGACCATGAAGTGCCAAAATCGTCCGAGGGGGGGCCGTGACCCAGTCCAGCTAGTGTGACATGGATAATCACACCAGAGACCTCTGCGTGCCCCGGTGCTGCTCAGCCTGTGATCCTAAACTACTCAGGATCATGCAATCTGAGGATCATGGTTCAGAGCCAATTAACCAGAGAAAAGCCTGAAGTAGAGCTGTGGCTTACACAGTACAGCCCAGCTTTGAGTAAAAAGGCTAAGCAAGAGCACAGCGCCTTGAATTTAAGCCCCAGCACTGATGCTCTCACACACATACACACTCCAAACAAGTTTTTAAGTTTTTACTTTGGAATTACTATTAAAGGAAATGTAAAAGGAACACAGAGAAGTCAGTATCCCTCTTATCCAGTTTCCCTCAATGATTAGACTTTTTAATATAGCAATAGTGTCCCCTCAGAACTGGAAACTGACAGCTGGATGCATGTGTGCAGATCTAGGTTATTTTTCATAACTGTGTGTGTGCATTCAGACAGCCCCCACCCCTATTGGGACACAGCTTCCTGTCACCGTGGGCTGCCCTGCTGGCGGTTGGTTTTACCAGACACTTTTATAAGTGGTAAATATCTCATTAACTGGCTAACAAAGCCTACAAGCCAAGAGGTCCACGTTCAAGCTGTCTTGTCACTGGCTAACACAGTGTGGACAGCACTGGTGATCCTGCTTTGGGCTTTGCGTGCATCAGGCTCAAGTTCAGGGCCCGCCCACTCGCAGGATTTCCTGTCTTATCAGCGCTTCTTCACCACTGTTCTTGCCATGTGTTGTCTTTTGCTTCTCCTAACCTTGGGATGATACCTGTCATCATGATGCCTCCGACATAGTTCTCCTTTATAGAGGTTTTGGAATTTTTATAATTCAGCATAAAACAGAAACCAACAGAAAATTAAATCTTTCCTAGCGTGTTCACTATATTTCTGTATTATAGCAAATTTATATTGTGCTTTTTGTAAGTACCCCTACTTTTTTTTTTTTAACAAGGTGTGCTTGCTCCAGCCAACTGTAATTAAGTTTCTTGAGAACAACTTGTCTTACTTGTGGCCTGAGGGAATCCCTGAGAGCAGGCCCCTCTGTTCCTGGGCTTCCTTGAAAATAGCTTTGCTTGCGGCTGGCCAGCATCGGATGTTCTAGATCTGTCGTGACTTGAGTGAGTCATGTTATAACCTGTGCCAGTGTCATGTTTAGGGTCTTCTCACTCAAGGTCTACAGCATGCTATAAACAATGATTATATAGTTAGTGGCTTTATAATTTTGATTTTTAAATTTTGATCATTGCAATCATCTGAAACCTTTCGTATTGTGTAAAATAAGTGCGCTAATATTTTTTCAAAATGAGTATTCCGCGGTCTTGATATCCTTTGTCAAAAGCCATCTTTACCCACTGAGGATGTTATTGTTAGATGGAAAAAGAAAAACATATAAGACTCTGGTATAGTATTATTATTTATTGAAAAAAGAGATTGCAAAAAAGTAAGAATGCACTTTAAAGATAAATGGTACCCAAAGGAAAACTATGTCTAAATTCAAGGCCTTTAAATGCCCTCCCTTCTAAATGGAAAAAAGACTTCCATGCATGAGCTTCCAATGTGAGACAGGAAGTGATTATTTTGAGCTTCCAAAAATGAGTCTTCAGAGTGAGTGACCCTCAAGGGGCTGGTCCCCCTTGAGCACCAGTGCAGGCTGTGGTCCTGAGTCAAACGTGTGACCTGGCCTTGGATCTGGTACAGTCAGCCCCAGGGTTCTGAAAGCCACAAAAGAACTGTCAGCCATGGGGTGTGTGGCTGGGTACCAGGCAGGGGTCTGCTAGTCAAAAGCTACTCAGGAGACCGAGATCTGAGGATCGAGGTTTGATGCCAGCCCAGGGAAGAAAGTCCGTGAGACATTTATCTCCAGTAAATTACCAAAAAGGCCGGGCGCCGGTGGCTCACACCTGTCATCCTAGCTACTCAGGAGGCTGAGATCTGAGGATCGCGGTTCAAAGCCAGCCCGGGCCGGAAAGTGTGAGACTCTTATCGCCAATAAACCACTAGAAAACCGGAAGTGGCGCTGTGGCTCAAGTGGTAAAGTGCCAGACTTGCGCAAAAAAGCTTAGGGGACAGCGTGGAGGCCCTGAGTTCAAGTCCAGGACCAGTATAAAAAGAAAAAGAAAAGGAACTGCGGGGTGTGGCCGGGTATGACACACGGCAGGGCCAAGAGGGTGTGATCTGATACGGGGCCTTGGTCCGGCCTTCTACAGGCCGGGCTCTGCGGGGCCGACCGGGAAAGGGATGGATCCGGGAGGGGGAGGGACGTGCGGAGGCAGGCCCTGTGGAGGCAGGACACGGGGGCGGGGCCAGGCTCAGGGCGGGGCCAGACTACATAGGCGGAGCCAGGACAGGGGGCGGAGCCAGGCAGGGGGTGGGCCCAGACCACATGGGCGGAGGCAGGACGTGGGGGCGGAGCCGGACCACATGGGAGGGAGCCAGGCCGCATGGGCGGAGCCAGCCCTGGGGCGGGGCCAGAACACAAGGGTGGAGCCAGGCACTGACCCGGAGGAATGGGCCAAATACAAAGATGGGGATGGGGGAAGGGAGGCCAGACACCGAGG